GGCCAGAAACAAAGCCCCTCGCTCCTCATCTTGCCCTCCTCCTGGTCTGCGCGATGACTCTGGGGTATGTCCACTGGAGATGCTCGACCAACAGGTAAGCGACACCACCTCACCTACGGCCCTCCATGTTGCCCTGCGGCCCATGGGGTTCCGTGGCGTTTGCCACGCAAAAGTCCGCGCCGGATTTTTGTTATACGCTAAGCCCCCTGGGGCCGCTGGTGGTGGCGGTGTCGTTTGTTTTCTGGTCCAGATGCTTTCCACTGCCTCGCGCGGAGCGCTCTGCTCTGCTCGACGTGGTCCTCTAGGGGCGGGATCCGGGAGCTCTCAGAGGCCTTCTCCTCGGGCGGCGTCGACTGACCGCCCCACCGATCTTTCAGCTCAGCGATCTGGCCCCCGAGCGTCTCCACGGCGACTGGGGAGGCGAGGATCACTGAACTGATTGATTTCGGCATGCCGGGACACCGAGGCTGTGTGTAGCAATCCGCGAGGTGTGTGTTCGTTATTTGCATTTTTCCGCTGCACGTGTTCTTCTTTTCTGCATGGATCACGCCGTTCCCGCAAGCGGGACGAGACGTCCTGAGGCGCTCGGTCGGACTTGTTGTTTGTTGCCCGTTGCAGGACACCGAAACCTATCAGTTCAGTAATCCTCGCCTCCCCAGTCGCCATGGAGACGCTCAGGGGCCAGATCGCTGAGCTGAAGGATGTCAGGGTCCGTGCGTCGTCCTGGGCGGTCCGACACTGGGCCCAGCATGGGCCCCGGCCAGGGTCGGCGAGGTGGTCGGCTTCGGGTGCGGCCAAGGGGGTGGGGGTGATGACCAGAGGGGGGGGGGGGAAGTGGATGTCGTGGCTCATAGCCCCCTCGTCTTTGTCAGCGCGTCCCGTGACCCTCCCCCCAGACGTCTGACCGCTCACGTTGTTATTCGGTGCGTGGGCACCCGAGGTCTGGACCACTCCCCCAGGGCCGGTCTTTCGTCCCGAGATGCTTTGTCGACGGTCCCGAGGCCCAGCGAGGGCCCCCGGAGGCCGAAAACGGCCCAAAGCCCGCCGCTCCAGTTTTTCTCCTCCTCCTGCTCCTCCTCCTTCTTCTCCTGCTCCTCCTCCTCCTTCTCCTCCTGCTCTGCCTCCTCCTCCTCCTGCTCCTCCTGCTCCTCCTCCACCTCCTCCTGCTCCTTCTCCTCTTCCTCCTCCTCCTCCTCCTCCTCCTCCTCCTCCTCCTCCTCCTCCTCCTCCTCCTCCTCCTCCTCCCCCCCCTCTGGCCATGATCTGCGAGCCCACTCCTCGGCGGGGCGCCCCGCGGCCCACGGGACGTCGCCCAGCCCTGGAGGGTGGGGCATGGCTTCTCGGAGGCCCCCCCCTCCTTCTCGTCACGCCCTGCTGCTTGAGCACCGCTGGAGGAGGAGGAGGAGGAGGAGGAGGAGGAGGAGGAGGAGGAGGAGGAGGAGGAGGAGGAGGAGGAGGAGAGGGGGGAGGTGGAGGAGGAGGAGTCGAGGAGGAGGAGTCGAGGAGGAGGAGGAGGAGGAGGAGCAGGAGGAGGAGGAGGGGGAGGAGGAGCACGGCCATGCTCCGACAGGATGCGAGCGCCCAGCGATGCGAAGTGGCCCAGCGTGGGTGGCTACCTGGAAGGACGTGTTCAGACGAGTAGTGGCGGGCGCCGGCGCGAACACTACAATTCAACATGCACTTGCCCTGGACCATCTGATCGGATGCGACTGGGAACTGGGAGTCCCTTCTTCCTCAAGGAACCCTTCATTTAGGGGGGCGCTGAGCCAGCCATGATTGAAGGACGGGGTCAATCCCCAAAGAGACACAAAGCGCGTCATCATATGTGATTGTCCTTCCCCCTGCCCGACTCCGGGAATTGGCCATGAGCTTGGCCGCGCTCGCGGACTTGATCGCGAATTGGCTCATGAACGACCCCGAATTCCTAGAGTCCAATCTTTGATGTAATCGGCTACGCGAACTGCGGAAAAGCCACCAAGTGAAGCGCGTCTTAGACAGAAAGAGAAACATAACACCGACACATCAGCAGGCATCAAGCCACATCATAAAATAATTACTTTACAGATGGAAAGGGCGGTTGCGCAGTGGACCTAATATGGCGGTGAAGCACCGCCAGGATATGTACTCTGACGATGAAGTGGAAGGACTGTACCTCGTATTCCCGATCACCATTCCAGATATACATACTAGCATACTCAGTCTTGTACCATCTATGCTACGTTCGGAACACCTGTGTCGATATGCTCGAACTTTATGGAGGCCTGGGCGCGAGTTCGGAGTCCGCCATATCAAGGGCTTTTCCCCAGGAGGAAACTTGGGCACTGGGTCACATGTAGACCTTGGGGACCTAGGTGTCCACAGAGTCATCGACCGTTACTTGGATGCCTGCTGCGTTTTTGTCGCCGTTCTGCAACGGAACTTTCGGACCACGTGCCTTCTGTGGTATCCAAGCCCCCAGATGAGTTTTGGAACGTGGAAAGAAAGCAGAGCAGACTTGCTGCATATCTCGCATCGTGGCCAGGTCACATTTGCTCAAGACGACAGTGGTATGCACTGTCTACGCCTGTCGGAGCTTTGGCAGACGAGATACATCCTTGGAACAATATTGCACAACGACCGATTATCGCATGTGTAACCATTGATCAATGTGCGACTGGTCTGAGAGATGCCTACGGCGATCTCACCAGGAAACCAGCGCAAACGGTCGGGAACAATGCTGTACTGCTCGGGCCCCCCAAAGGACTCACGTGAAACGAACGACATGCACGTGCACAACTTTGCAATGAGCATCTGGCGAAAGCAGGTGTGTATACCAATCGCGCGCGACGCGCGATCGTTGACGCGGCACTCGCGGCCGAGGCGAAAGGTCACATGCACGAAAGCGCAAAGTTGATCCATGCTACTGAGACCGGCTCAGGACCCAGCGACCCAGTACAATGGACTGTGCAGACTCAGATACGGATGCCGCCAGAGGGGGCATGGATGTCCAGCACGTGCCGATAACTCTCGACGAACGGGCTCAAAACACAACAGAGACCTGACGCAATGCCGATGGGACATACACCCGATGATTTGGACATGCCCGGCCTGCGAGATATGTTGAGGCTCTAACAAGGAACGGTGCGCGCTAGAAATAAGACAGTGCCGAATTGCTAAACCACGCGCTCACCCGCCGGACTACGAGCCCACACGGCTAGTAGTCCCTGGCGAGGAACTGTGCAAGGGTCAGGCGCCTCGCGACGGCCGAGCATCAGCATCATCAGGGCGCCAAAGGGCTCACTCTCTAGGCCACCAAGACTACGCGCTCTCGGAGAGGCAGTTGCAGGCTCAAGCGGTTATGGCGCCGCGGGGCCTGCAGCTGGTGAGCCTATGATCGGGTCAGGTAGCAGCTCCAGTGGTTTTGGTGACAGACCGCTGGTAGCAGCCAGACGTGGCCGAATCCAACATGTACAGCCTCCGCCTTCAGACAGCGATCCATCCAGAGTCCGTCGGATCCCATGAGTCCGCGCTGGCTCTGGGCGCCCGCGACTTCCTGATTGGACCAGGTTCAGCTCTAAAGGTCATCCGTGGAATCTGAGGAGCAATGACCTAGCGATGTTAATAACGTTGAAAACTGTAGCTGCGGTAGCAACAATCATCGAAGCTGCGACTTTTGTTCGAAAGGTTGGGGTGGGCAACGCACGACTTAACATGGTCGAGTGCCGTGCTTTGGAGAAACCTTGGGATTCCACACTGGCATCAATGAGTTTGCCTGGGGTATGTATCGATGTGACAGAGTGTGGTTTGATGTCCTACAGTAAGACGACGAGCTTCCACATCATCGATGGGTGCATGAAGTTTGGTGCTGGTCTGCAGATTCGGGAACAATAAACGGAGACCGTCCCCACTGTGTATCAGCAGAGCTGGGTGGCGATCTGCGGCCCGGCCAAGGTGCGACGCCAAGGTGGAGGTGCGCTCGATGATGACATTGGTCATGCGCGCCGAACTTTGAGTGCGAGTGCCCGGCCAGCATGCCTTTGCGATGTCAGCGCGCAGCGGCATCTTGCGCGCGAAGACTTGACAAGGCACGATTTGCTTCTTAATTTCAGCCGCCTGTTAGCGTGAGCGTTCTGCGTGTGCGCCTTCACTTTCCACGGAGGGTTTTGCCGCGTCAGGCTTTCGCGGGGGGGCGGCCGCGGGTGCCTCTTGATCTGAATGCGCCAGACTTTTGGGGAAGCCGTTGGTCAAGAAAGAGGGGGGGGGGCCCGAGAGGCTGGCATTAGGGCGACTTCGCAGGAGAACGGCAGCGGCCAAAACTAGCAGAGCACCGAGAGCCATTGACAACGGCGGATGGAGTTCGCCTGTCCAAGGTGGGCGACCTAGCCGGTTATCGCCGACCCGCAGCCGCCGAGAGGACAGCGTCGCTTCGAATGGCCTAAGCGCCATCGCCGACGGCGAACCCGAGAGGAGATATCATTGTATTTGTTGGGGGCCGAAAGGTAGATGTCCAATATCCGCGCGTTTGCCGCGCGCTTTTGGTGGGAGTTCTCTTGGCAAAAGGGGGCGTGGATAGTGTGACTGGGGAAACCGCCATCGCGTTCATGTCGGATTTGGCGCGCGCTGGGGCCTGGTCAGATGAAAGAAAAACCTAGGGATTACGACTGTGGGGGCACGGTTACTTACAATGCGCGTTGCCGTGCAATTTCTCATCGAGACATACTTTAGAATCGATGGCGCCATTGTTGTCAGTGTGGCCGGGTGTGCAGTCCGTCCCAGAAGTTACTCATGCAGACTGGTGCATTTTGCACGTGCTGCGACGGCGGCGTCCGCCTTGGTCCTAGCTGGTGCGAACGCAGCGGGATAGCGCCATATGTTGGGCAGGTCGCGGAGCGGCCGCTCAATGGCCATCCGATGCTTCGCTTCGCATGGGCCCCGGGCTGGCTTCCACGAAAATGAGGCAATATTCCAGGGGTTGGCCCTCGGGTCATCGTGGAAGGGGCCAGCGACGTTCCCGCGTGTCTCGAGATGCCCATGGCCGCACTATAAGCAGAAGCTCTTGGCGCGATGGAATCGCCGCGCGCGGAGTATATGCGTCGGCTGCCGCCGAGCGGGCCGCTGTTTTTCAGGAGGGCGACCTGCCGGCAAAGGTGGGCGTTGAGCATCTCCCCGCGAAAGTCCCCGAAGCCTTGCGCGACGACGTCGAAACCTCGATGGGCAACCGTTTGTAGGATATCGAGGAAATCGACGAGGCCAGTAAACATGGCCTCGCGGCACGTGTACAAGTGGGTGTTTGTCGTGGGGCGACTGGCGACCTGAGTTGCGCCGTGCGACTTCGCCCGGCGTGCGGGGGCTCCCTCGACGCGAAAGCTTTCGATGTGGAAGCGTCTTTCTGTGGGCATCCGCGCCAAATTTCCTTGCGCCTCTTGGCTGGTGGGTCGGCGCGTCCATCCAATCTGGCCGTCGTTCCCGCGGGCGTTGGCGCGGCGTCTTTGGGCGGGGTGGCTGGCGCCGAATTGGCAGAGGCAGCGGGGGGGCAGGCGCGCGTGCCGTGCTTTACCTCGCCCCCTGGTAGTGCGCGGGCGCTTTGTTCGCTGCCGGGACTTGCTCGCCGCTGCGACAGTCGACGCTGCTTCGAGTTCTTGGAGCCCGGCGGCGTCGCAGCGGGCGCCCCGCGCGTTTCCCCCGGGGGCGGCGGAAGGGGGTGCGCAATGCTGGACTGCGGCCCGCGCCTTTCGATCAGGGGTTTGAGGTCCGCGGCGAGCTCTTGACGGCCAGGCGCGCGCGCCGCGTCCACGTGGCGGTTTTGGATCAACGTGCTGACGATTGCGTTGAACGAGTTGAGCAAGAGACTGGAATCTGCAAGTTAACGTGCTACTCGCGCATATTGCGCCGCGAGGTTTGCCGAAGCAACGCCCGGGTGCGTGGTGCTCGATCGCGCGCTCTGATTTGGCCGGCGCGGGGCCCGGCGACGAGGCATCTAGAAAGGTAGAAAGGGGGCGTGCATGTTCGTCAGTTTGCGAGGGGCCCCTGCATATCTGCCCCTTGCGCAAGTTTGGCCAACTGCAAGTGTTGCGTCCTCGCGAAGGGTACAAGAGCCCGCTTGCGTAGGAGTTCGGATTCCCAATTGCGTCGTTCACCCTTCGATGAAACCTTCGGGGGAGTAGACGTGCGCCGCGATTCGGGATGCGGGAAATTTTCCAGCGACGGAGAACATGACTATATGGAATACGGCATGCGTGGTGCCAATCTCATCGAGCGGGGTATGTCGCCCGCGTGTGAGCGGGGCGTGCATCTGGTAGATCGTCTCTGAAAATCTCATCGGCTACATTGGATCAAGTTGCGCAGCCGAGCCTCTTGTAGCGTTGCGCAGTTTGGACGAATGATACCCGACTCCCGATCACACTGCGTGAACTAAGGTCTGGTCCGCTGGTTCCACGGGCCCTCAGTGGCATCCGAGAACTAGGTGGGCCACTCATGAAGGTATTACTGGCTATCGGCGCGGAGTCGGTCCGCAAGTCCTTCTCTAGTGAGGAACCAAGGACATCTTCTGCAAATGCACGACTGTGACATTTCATTTGGATGAGTGACATGATGGATGTATGTGTCATGCGTACTGCGCAGTTGTGTCACGCGCATGACATGGCTGCATGCGGACGCAGTCAAGGTACCATCGACAGATTGTTCTTGGAAGTAAAGGTGGGCAAACACATATTCCAGCTTCAGGTATGCGTGTGTTGTCCCATTCCGCGGTATTTCATCGGTGCATGTCGCCGGCGCGACGGTCTGACAGCGTCGACAGGGGCGGCGGTGATTTCATCGTGTAACTTGGAATTTCATACATTGTGTTGACACTGTGTGGGGGGAACAGTGCTTTTATCAATTGATAGCGCTCCTCGCTATGTCGTGCGCGAAGGAGAGCTGTGCCATTTTCTTTTCTAGCATGCCCCTCACTTGTTTTTTCCTGCCGCATGTGCGCTCGCATTGTTCTGTCATTATCACACGAAGAGAAGCTATAACAAACGTGGCAGCTCGCCGGAGATAGAGGACAGCGCCAGCGCTCGTGAGCGCGCCTCCGTTACTTCAGACCAGAAGCTGCGTTGAATATTTTTTGATATTATCATTGTCGGTTTGTATATATATATATATATCTGCACATGTGTACAGGTATATGTATATGTATATGTTTATGTATTTGTACATGTTTACGTACAGGTATAGGTATACGTAAATGTGTATGCGTATGTATATGTAGATGTTCATGTATATGTATATGCGTGTATATATGTATATGTATATGGATATGTACTTGTACATGTGCATGTATCTGTATGTGTGTATGTAGATCCTTATGTATGTGTGCATGTATATGTCCATGAATATGTATATGTAAATGTATATGATTCAGGAGTCGCGTTCGTATGTGTATATGTACATGTATATGTTTATGTTTATGCATTTGTATATGTATATGTATTTGTATATTTATAGTTTGTTGTATGTGTTTTTGTATTTACATTTGCATTTGTATTTGTAATCGTATTCGCATATGTATGTGTAATTGTATTTCTATGGTCCTCGTATGTTTGTATATGTGTTTGTGTATATTCATATGTATATTTATATGTATATGTATATGTATATGTATGTATATATATATGTGTATATTTAGTTATATCTGTATGTTTAGTTATATCTACACCTTCCTACAGGTGGCCTTGTCTCTTGAGCTGAACACGCTGGTCTTCCTTGCTCGTTGCCTGTCGCCTTGTTTGTTTGAGTATTGTGCGTGTTTACTACGGGAGATACGCGCCTCTCTTTCTCTCCCTTCCCGATTTTACGGGGGCCAAGCTGGGGTTTCTGGATCGGTTTGCAGGATGCCATTCCGCAACAATTGGACTCGGATGCTGGAAAACGCGTGCTTCCCATATGCCGACTTACGCACCCTATGACTTCTGGAAATAACCTCGTATCCTATATATTTCTATGTGCGCCATTCAATTCCCCACACCTTGGTCGTGATGTATGCCCGACGGGAAATTGGATTTTGATTTCTAGGCCTCTTGAGCTGTTTGGAGGCCGTTCGAGAGTCTCTTATGCCTTCGTCGGCCGTTTTGGGCCGTTTCGGTGTCATATTGGCTGCTTCGGAAGCCGTTTCAGGGAGCCTCCTGGGCCGACGGGAGGTCGAAAGGAATGCCGGAGAGCAAAGGGGGGTTGGTTTCAGACCGACGCGTGCGGCGAAGGCGGGGGTCGGCGCACCTCGCAACCATGCCTGGTGCATGTTCTAACACCTCCAGCTTCCCCTCCCGAAGGCTCCAGGGACAGGGCAAAAAGGACTCCAGTTGGCCCCGTGGCTGGACCAGGATGGGCCTGAGATGGCCCAAGATGGTCTCCAGGATGGCACCCGAGGGACCGGGGTGGTTCGCAATAGCCGCGAAGATGCTTCCAAGGGGCCCCCAAACCGTTCAAAGACGGCTCTACGGTGCTTCACAGGGAGGCCCCCGACAGTCCTAAATCTTCAACCTGTGGGAAGTCCATAGTTTGCGCCCTCTCGCCTTTTCGCCTCCGATGTGTCACTGAGGGCACACCTTGACCTCAGAATGACCCACGAGATCTTAAAGGAAATGTGAGAGAACGCCAGGACGGCCACAAGAGCTCCCCAAGAAGGCCTCAAAAGAACCCCAAGACGGGCCAAGGGACCTCTGAGACGGCTCCAGGGTGCCTGCAGACATTTCGGAGACCCCTCCAAAACAGTCTCTGAAGCCATCATATCGGGCACGTGCGTATTTGGAAGGACCGAAGGGCTTCGAATAAGCCCGAACTGTCCCCAGGAAGTCCTCAAGAGAGTCCAAGAAGTACCGAACGGCTTCCACAGGGACGCAACATTGTTAGTACTGCGTTTTGGATGTGTTCTTGATCTCGCTATCTCGGGCTACATGATTTCGCACCTGTCCCTGTCTTCGAACGCGTGCTGCAGCCTCTGAATCGTCCTCCTCCCCCGCCTTGTTCTCAAAACCAACGACGAAGACAAACTTCTGGTGCTGACGGTAGTGTGTATAGTTAAGTGTCCATCAGTTTTACGAGATTCCAAATCGGCCCAATAGAGTCCTAGCTGGCCCCCGGGTGCGCCCCAATGCGCCCAAAAAGCGGCCCCAGGGAGGCCGAAAGAGCCACGAGAGCGCACAATGATCGCTAAGAGTGCCGTGTGACCGTCCAGTACAATCCGAGGCCGCAGGCATGAGGGAGGAGAGGGTATGTTGGAGTAGCGGATTGGAAGGCAGGGGGAGGATGGATGAGGATGCGTGGAAATGGGAGGAGGGGAGAAGGAGGATAACGAGAGATAGCTTGGTGAAGGCGATGGATGGGCCAGGATGGGGGCCGGAGGAATGAGGGATGGAGAGGAGGGAGGAGTGAGGAGGGAAGGTGAGGAACAGGAGGGGTAGAAAAGAGGGAGGGGGCCGTGGTGAGGCTCCCCCCCCTAGCACCCCGAGGGTGTCCTTGTCACTGTCGTCGCAACCTATGCTCAGTCCACACCTTCGATTCGTGCACATGTGCAGCTGTTTTGTTGCCGCGGGCAGATGCGTGCTAGAACCACGCGCTCGCTTCGAGCGCTTCGTCACCCCCATTCGGCTTTCCTCGGGGGGCTTCTGCGTGCTAGAACCACGCGCTCGCTTCGAGCGCTTCGTCACCCCCATTCGGCTTTCCTCGGGGGGCTTCTCGGGGCACCTCTTGGGTTCGTCTCGGGCCTTTGCTTCGGAGCCTTTTCGGAGCCCCATCGTGTTTTTGTTGAGCCGCCCCCTGGCCTCTCTTGAGGCCTCGGGCGCGCTAGAACCCAAGCGCGCGCGCGAAGCGCGCGTGGTTCTGGTATACATGCATGTAAATAGCATGGTCGGCGGGGCGGGGCGGAACGGCCACAGGAGGAGGAGGAGGAGCAGGAGGAGGATGACGAGGAGGTGGTGGAGGCGGAGGAGGAGGAGGAGGAGCAGGAGGAGAATGAGGAGGAGGAGGAGGAGGAGGAGGAGGAGGAGGAGGAGGAGGAGGAGGAGGAGGAGGAGGAGGATGAGGATGAGGTCGAGGAGGCAGAGGAGGATGGGGGAGGGACGGGAAACGGTAAACATTAGTCACCTTTCCGTGATGCCCGGGCCCGGGGGGTACCTCCACCGCGGAAGCGCGCGAGGAGACCGCGTGAAGAACTGGATCACGTTCAACGAGCCCTGGTGCTCGACCGTGCTGGGCTACTGCAACGGCGAGATGGCCCCAGGCCACAAAGACAAGCCCGACACGGAGTCCTCGTCGTCCTCGTCGTCGTCGCCGTCGTCGTCGCCGTTGTCGTCGTCGCCGTCGTCGTCGTCGCCGCCGCATTGACGCTACCAAATGCTCTGAATCTTCCAGTGCACGATATGCCATCGGGGCCGTGCAACGCTTGGGGGAGTACATCTTGCGGGAGCCACCAGAGCTTAAGGGCTATGGGCAGATCGCGAAGCCGCTGCTTACGACCAAGCCGTGGACTTGTGACCTTGACCCCTTGGAGGCCATTGACGACCTCGACTGGTATCCTGGCTCCCACCGACGAGCCTGAGCTCATCACTGGCGGCATCGACGTGGAGCTCGAGGCGTCGTCGCCACAGCCTTTGCCGGGACGGGCGAACGGTGGGGACCTCACGCCGTCGCTTGCCTGTGCCAGGAGCGGGCGGCATCAGATCAGGATCTCAGGTCGCCCTCTCTCCTCCTCCTCCATCTCCTCCTCCATCTCCTCCTCCTCCTCCTCCTCCTCCTCCTCCTCCTCTCTCCTCCTCCTCTTCCTCCTCCTTCTTCTCCTCCTCCTCCTCTTCCTCCAAGCGGAAATGAGGAGAGGGAATGGGCTCGAGACTCTTCGCTTCATCAAGGTTCCACTAGGGAGGTCGCCGCAGCAGGGCCTCCCGAACCCATTCCCAAGGAGCCCCAGGTTGTCCCGTGCCAGCATCGTGGAGTGGGGCCCGAAGGCCAGCGACTTCATGCACGTGGCCGCCCAGCAGCTCGCCACGGTCGCCGTCGCAGAGACCCACGTCATGCAGTCAGGCCTTGGTAAGGCCCAGCAAGACCTTTTTCCCTACCTAGGCTCTGCCTAGAAGGGTTTTTGCTCGGTATGCTTAAAGGGCCGGACAGTGTAATGCGCCCGGGGCGGTTCCCCCAGCATCCGCCCCGCGGTTCCCCCAGGATCCGCCCCGCGGTTCCCCCAGTTGCGCCCTCTGGGTTCACCCAGCTTAGCTTAACTAAGCTAAGCTAAGCTAAGTTTAGCTGAGCTTAACTTATAGCATCTTAGCTTAGCTTAACTTAGCCTAGCTTAGCTTAGCTTAGCTTTGCCTAGCTTAGCTTAGCTTAGCTTAGCTTAGCTTATCTCATCTCATCTTAGTTTAGCTTAGCTTAGCTTAGCTTAGCTTAGCTTTGGCTAGCCTAGCCTAGCCTAGCCTAGCTTAGCTTAGCTTACCTTATCCCATCTTAGCTTAGCTTAGCTTAGCATAGCTTAGCTTACCTTAGCTTAACTTAGCGCAGCGCAGCATTGCGCAGCGCAGCACTAGCACGGCATAGCATAGCATAGCATAGCCAAGCATAGCATAGCATAGCATACCATAGCTCAGCATAGCATAGCATAACATAGCATAGCTTTGGCTTAGCTTTAGCTTAGCTTTAGCGTAGCATTAGCTTAGCTTTAGCTTAGCTTTGCTTCGTTTTAGCTTAGCTTTACTGTTATTACTAATGCTGCTTTCCTAGGGGCTCCAACTCCTAGGTAGGGTCGCACTGGGATAATAGTTTTAGATAATCGTTGGGAGATGGTGGGTGCCGCAGCTCTCGGGTCCTCGCGTGGAGGCGAGTGTGTTAGTTCCGAAAGGCATACTGCTTCAACCTCTCGTTGGGCTCCTCGCAGGGGTCGTCCCAACGCGTTCGAGTCATCTGCCCCACCACGCTACACCTCACAAGGGATAGTGGCGTTATCTTTTCTGCGTATTTGTTTCCAGGGCATGCGCTAGGTGGGCTCAGTGCGGAAAGGCTTAAGTCTCTCACTCAGTTTGACTTGTCGCTGCAGACCCGCGGATCATTGTGACCGGCTGGAGTTTGTCGAAAGAGGACTTGGGCAAAAGCGCCTCTCGCGCTGTCGTTGTCGGCGACATTGTCATGGTTGACCAGGGTGCGGCCACTTGCACTGCCGGCAGTGGAAGCGTCATCGACCACCTCGTCGTCCAGCGAGGCTTCTCTGAGAAGGTCAAGCAATGCATCTTCACCCAGGTCCCCTGGAAGACCCGCGTGGCTCTGTGCGGCCGCACTCTTTCTTGGCGTGCCGCCTGGCGGCGCACGGTGCTCCCGTTGCCGCCCCTGACTCGCCGAGGATGTCGCGCCCATCGAAGCCAGCGGACCCCAACAGCTCGTGCGCCAAGCAGCGCGAGGAGGCCCGAGTTCCACGTCGAGATGCCCTACCTCAGGCCCTAGACACGCCGTCGCGGAGGACAGCCACATGCCGTGTGACAGTCCGTCGGACGCATGGGCCA